TATTAGTCTTATATTACCCTAACTTATATGAAATCATCATGAATCCATCATTATTTTACTAAACATTCACCTAGTTCATCTTCATATAAGGTTGACTATCAAAAGTCAAACTTTCCCAAACCATATCATGTATACACAACTATTTCTTGTTATCTAATCATGATTTCCACAAGATAATAAGTTATGTATTACATATCCTACACAATATCAAGATTTCAGCTTATAATTCTCAACATGCAACCCTAATTTCATGGTTTCTTGAACTCAAAGTGAATAGATTATCAAAAATGGAAGCATACCTTCAATAATCTTGCAAAATTTCACCAATTTCTTGCTAAAACACCCAAGTTTGGTTCCCTTGAAGAGTACAAAAGCTTAGAAACGAAAATAAGGAAGAATTGGGGCTGAATTCGTGTTTATATGTCTAAAACCCGAGTTGGGTCGGTTTGACCCGGTTGGGTACCCGTTTTGACCATTAAACACTAAAAATTGCATAACTTTTCGCTCGAAACTCCGTTTTCGATAAGGTTTTCGTCTACGCGTTCATAACAAGATAATCTATAATTTACAATAATTTTTTTTTCATAAAAGACCTCCCAATAACAGCAGTTTTCATATTTGTACGAGTTATGTTTTCCTTTGAAATTTTGCCGTTTTTGATTTTGAGTTCGGAATCCCGTAAAAATTTTCGACACCTCCAACAACTCCTAATAGGTCTAAAACTTAGTTCCAAAGCTTATCATCCTATCAAAAACCTCCCGATTGAGTATTGTGCACGTAATTTATCGAAATCATACCGTAATTTGAAAAAACTTGCATAAAATGCAATCTACGCGACTTTTTCRACTTCCGACAATTCTAACACTTCATATTAACTTATTCAAAGGTGTTCCAACATTTAGATTACCATTTAGATCTTTCATTCAAGTTTTGGGTAGATTTTTCTCATTTAGGCACTCTAGATACCTACCCAACTATCATGTATGTAATGAACTTTGTATGTTGAACCCTCACATTGCTACATGAGGTAGATTTTTCTCATTTAGGTACTCTAGATACCTACCCAACTATCATGTATGCAATGAACTTTGTATGTTGAACCCTCACATTGCGACATTTGGAATGAGATGTAGAAGATAAGATTGGTGCTAACACCTCACAATTGACATAATTAGATAATGTGAGGGTTCAACATACAAAGTTTATTGCATACATGATAGTTGGGTAGGTATCTAGAGTGCCTAAATGAGAAAAATCTACCCAAAACTTGAATGGAAGATCTAAATGGTAATCTAAATATTGGAACACCTTTGAATAAGTTAATATGAAGTGTTAGAATTGTCGGAAGTCGAAAAAGTCGCGTAGATTGCATCTTATGCAAGTTTTTTCAAATTACGGTATGATTTCGATAAATTACATGCACAATACTCAATCGGGAGGTTTTTGATAGGATGTTAAGCTTTGGAACTAAGTTTTGGACCTATTAGGAGTTGTTGGAGGTGTCGGAAAATTACGTCCACATTATCTTTTTCTATGCATACAAGGTTGGTAAGTGTTTGTTTTGTAATCGTGGTGTTACATAAACCATTACTGGTACATTTTAAGACTCATGATCGACTTTATATAAATTGGAACTTCAATGGTTTTATTAGACTTATTATCAAATGTTTGGTTATTGATTTGGTTATTTGAGTTTGAGTTTACTGACTTAACTTTGAATAGGCTCAATACTCGGGGCACGGGGGTTGAGACGCCCCCATGATGGTTATAATTGTCATGGCATTCTCATAAAGGCTAYGGCCAAGCCAAATAGAGAATGTTGGATGCATCCTATGAACCGAATACCGGATAAAGCCGAATACCAATTATATTGGTTACCGGATAGAGCCGAATACCGGGTAGAACCGAATACCAATTATATTGGTTACCGGATAGAGCCGAATACCAGATACCTCTGGTTACCGGGGAATGTGATGGTGTAGTGCCCGACACTTTCATTCCATTATGACGTCTGATTGGACTGATCATCCATCGGGAACAACGTATCCTAATGATACGGATGACCTTCTTACCTTGAATATTTTTTKTATTATATAACTTTCAATTTTTAGAGATTTACATTTAAATTGATTTCACTTGTATCGTAATGTTTTCTTTCAGTTATTTATTCATATTTGATATTCTTCTGCTATTATTCGTTCACTGGGCAATTTTTTGCTCAGTCGAGGTTTGTTTTGTTTTACCTCGGCAGGTTCAAGATTTAACTTAGGGGCAGGATGAAGGGTCAAGATGACTTAGATTCTAAAAGACTAGCAGTTGAATATAGTGTTAGTGCTATGTAGGGGTGAGCATAGGCGGGTACCCGTCCTTTTTGACAAGAATCGGAACCGGAACCGGCGGTTCTTGAGATATTGGAACCGGAACCGGAACCGGTTAGAGCGGTTCTTAAATTTTTGGAACCGAAACCGGAACCGCCGGGAACCGGTTCCGATTCCGGGTACCCGCTTCCTAAAATATTAAAATTTTGTTATTTAGAAATAAAAAATAAAACATTGCGAAAACACTAAATAAATAAGCAAGAATACAAATTATATAGAATAATGGTTATAAATGTTGTTTAACGATTACAAACCATAATAGACTAATAAAAAATGTTCAAAGTTTAACGATTACATAMTATAATGGTAAATGTTCAAAGTTTAACGATTACATACTATGAATCCAAGTGAATACACAATTTGAAAAATACGAATCATTTTATATGAATAATTTAGATGAAGAATGAAGATGACGACGTACTTTCAAGATGTAAACCTAATATAAATTTGGTATAAAAAATAATAATTATTTTTTTATTGAAAAATACCGGGTACCCGGCGGGTAACGGTTCCGAAAAATTAAGAACCGGAACCGGAGCCGTTCTCAATCGGTTATGTATTTTAGGAACCGGAACCGGAACCACTAATATCGGTTTCGGTTCCGGAACCGGCGGTTCCAAGGCGGTTTCGGTTCCGTAACCGGGTACCCGGTTCCGCTGCTCACCCCTAGTGCTATGTAATATAATGGTTGTAATGTTTTTTTTTGGGAGTTTCATTAGAGCTCCGTATTGTAAATGGTAGACTTTTGATCCGTTTTCGGTTGTGACATGTCTCATCTTAAGTTTAGTAGGATGGGGTGTTACAGTCTTGATGAATATGTGGCCAAAAGAGACCACTTTCGAAAATTTTATATGTTGTCCTCGTTGGGCCAAAATGGCCTCCACATGCATAAGAATGACAAAATTCTAAAATGAAAGTTACCTCATCGTCACTTACACATCGCCGGATGATTTGATCGGAACCTTGCTTCCATAAATAAGGATCATCCCACATTTAGTGTTTGGAGTCACTCCTTATCTTGTCTCTCTTCGCTCTCGGTAGCTCCTTAGGTGTTGTCCCGGTAACTAGATAATTGACTATGTCGGCATACCAAGAAACCGCCGTCATCACCCCAAATAGATGCTCATCCGGGAACTTATTGTCTAGAGGCAACGACTCTTCGTTGGAAGTAATCTGGCTTAAGTGATCAGCCACCAGGTTTTGTGCTCCACTTTTGTCTCTGATTTCCATGTCGAACTCTTGAAGCAACAAAATCCATCGGATGATTCTTGGCTTGGCATCCTTCTTTGCCATCAAATGTCTCAACACCGCATAATTTGTAAAAACAATAACTTTAGTATCTAAGAGATGTTGACGAAAATTTTTCAATGCGAAGACAACCGCAAACAATTCCTTCTCCGTGGTGGAGTAGTTTGCTTGCGCGCTATCGATGATTCTTGAAGCATAATAAACAACGTGAGGGTGAGGGTGGAGCGTCTTTTGAAAGTGAGAGAGAGAGAGCCCCCCGGGTTATCATGTGCTTGATGGAGTAGTACTAAATGCATTATATATTGGTTTTTAAGACTTTAAGACTTTATGCATCTAAAGGTTGTACCTTATGCATTTGAAGTTGTTTGTAAGACTTTTGCTAAATCTGCTTAATAGAATCCGTATCCTTCAAAATCTATTGGCGATGAAATCGGATAGAGATGAAATCGTTTAGGAATTGGGTTTCTGTTGGCGATGAAATAGGATAACGATGAAATCGGATATTGATGAACGAGTTTAAGGATCGCTTTAATAGGTTGTACCATTAGCAATAAAAGTTGTTTTTAAGAGTTTTAGCCAAATGCTTTATAAGATAGTATAGATTCAATACCGAATTATTTGAAAATCTGACAAGACTTTTTATGGTATAATTTGTAAAACAAAGTACATAATTTTTTTAATGTATTTCATTTAAAAACATTATTAATTAACTAATATGATAAGAATATAAAATCAAAATTTAAAAAGAAAATAAAAAAAAATTTAGACTTATAAATTGTAAATTTAAATTAAAATTGAAAAAAAAATAAGGGGCTGTTTGGTTGGTTTTTCATCAAGTCCTGTATAGATAAAACTGTCTGTATAGATTAATTTATCGTTTATATCTTGAGAAGGTTTTCGTTTGAGAAAGTCTTTTCATAAATAAACAGAGCTTGTTTTTTAATTGGAAGAGTCGGAAAAAAACTTGGCTTCCACGTAAAGCTTCCCTAAAAGGTTAATGAATAAACCATTTTCAATGTTATTAATCACTACCAAATAATCATACATAGTTGACGGAACAAGTTGTGAGTCCCATTAAACTGTTAACAAACATGCCCCGATCATCTTAAGAATTTTATGGTAAGTTTGTCACATACAATAGAATAGGGGTTAGTTTGTTATATGGCCCTTTCTATAAGGGTCATATTTGTAGTTTTGGTGGTGCATGAGTTTAACGACCCTTTAGTGACGGACGTTATCCAGGGATGAAATAGAAACAAAATGAAAAACATAATAACGGTAAACGTAATTTTAAAAATATAGGGACTAAAATAGAAACATTTGATAAACCCCAGGGACGAAAACGCGTATTTTTTCTTCTTCCCCAACTTGTTTGCAGGTGTGTAGGCGCGGGATAAACCCTAATTTACAAAGGCAATAAAAACCCTGCTTGGCCACTCTCCACCAAACACAGAGAGCTGCAACGGCTCCTTATGCTCGATTTCCACACCAAAAACCTTAATAATACTGAAACTGGTACGTCCTCTAGATCCCTATTTGCATTCAAGCCTCGCCAAGTTCTCCTCGCTGAGCATAATTCAAGAAGCAAGATGAATAATGTTGCTTTGAAGGAGGAAAATAAGAGCAAAATCACATCTTTAACATCTGAATTGAGAGGAAGTCTTCACAACTCCATACTTCATTACCTTCATCGCCACGGGTTCTCCAAAACCTTCAAACGATTTCAATCAGAAGCTGAAGTCCAGGTTTCTCGTCCCTCCCATATATGTATTTATCATATTGTACATGCTTGTATGTGTATATGTGTGTGTGTATATACATATATTATTCCTGTATATTCAAATATGCATAAGCTGCACGAGTGATTAAAGCTGATTAAGTAGTATGCTAAGTTTGGAAGATTTTAGCATTGAGACTTCTGTAGTAAAAGTGTAAAGATGCTGTTGTGATAAGCTTTTGACTCCATACGACCAGGGATGCTTTTAATGGATATATACTGATGATAAGCTAATAAAGATTGGCACTTGATTTTGATCTTATGTTCATTAGGTGTATATGTGGAGGTATGTAAATGGTGTGTGTGATTGTCTGGTGAAACTGCAGAAGCAGATTTTGGTGCAATTCTATGTGCTTTTGAAGCCTATTAAGATGAAAAGTAGGAAAGAAATGGGACATTTATTATTATTGTGTTGCAATGAGACCAAGAACATGAGTGCTTTATAATTTAGGCATTAACCAGGCATGCTTTGAATAGTTCTACATACATGATCAATGCTGGAACTTGAATTTGTTCTTTATTGACTAGGTGCATGCTGCGGTATATGAATGATCCTGTGTGATTTTCTGGTGCTACCATGAATACAGAAACATTTGAATTATACAAGCATTAATCAGATTGAAAACAATGTAGGAAACGAAGAATTTGCAACCCATGCACACATAAATATGTTGGCAACTAGAAGCTTAGGGTATATATATATATATATATAGGGTCAGGTTTAGGGAAAAACCACAAAAAAAATGAAAAACCGAGGAACACCCTGGTAACCGTTCATCTGGATGTATGCACATCTTCATATAAGTAACTCATAAGCAATTTGTCCGCTATGTGCATGAGCATAACATGCACACATGCATAAAAACCAAGAAACAACTTCACTTACTTGTATGCACATGTGCATACCGTCCAGATGAATGGTTACCATGGTGTTCCTCAGTTTTTCATTTTTTTGGAGGTTTTCCCTTGAACCTCCCCTCTCTCTCTCTCTCTCTATATATATATATATATATATGTATATATATATATATATATATATATGGATGCAAGCTATTGTACAGACTTGTATAAATATTGGTTAACATGTCTTACCTGGTATATATTAAAATGGAGGCAATCTGGCGAGGATTGGTCGAGAGTGAGACTAGTTGGCGTTTCTTTATGTCGATGGGATAGTCTTCAATTCATGATGCTTTGGTCGAGACTCCTAATTTTCTTGCCATATGTAGTAATTGTATCCTATAGGACCTTTGCCAATCACGCCTACATAATTTCTTGCTGCTTGTAATCTTATTTCAAAGAATTTGCTACCTTATAGAAGCCTTTGAAAGTGGCATCTCCCTACTCACGGTATTGCAACAAGTCCAGGAACTTGAACCATGAAGATGGTGATTATGATGAACAAGTGCACTTTGCTTTTCACTTTCAGCAAGTTTGCTAAGCTAGAATTTTCACAGGTTTTAGACTTGTATCATTCTGTGTGATAAAATTTGCATTTTTGACAACTCTAAGCCCTCTTTGCTTTTTACTATGTATCATTTTCTCATAACCTGATCAAAATTAACTGTGAAACTCTTGATGATTGTACTTTCTTTTATGTAGAGTGATACCTGGAAGGCTTCTTCCCTTTGTTTGGAGGACATATTCTGCAAATATAATGCCTGGTAAGATGAGAAAGGCACATTCTTGTACTATATTTATAGCTCTAGTACCTTGTCAAGTATGAGCAAATGAAGCATTAATTCTGATGCAATAATCTTAAAAAGCTAAACCTTTATCATATAAAATGTAAAACACAGGGACAGGGTTTGACTTATGGTCTGTAAGGTCCAAAAACACAGGCTACAAGGTGATCTCAATCTCTATAATTATTTGCAGAATGTGGAAAATGCCATCCATTAACGCCTAAAACAATACTTCTGAGGTGCACTTGAGATTGTTTTCTAATTAATAATCTGATAAAATATATAATAATATACATTTCAAGTTTCAGGGGAAGGTTAACAAGAGTTATAATTGTATAAATTGATGATACTTTTGTTCTCATCCATAGACATTGGCCATCTAAGTTATCCTTTGGCCACAACGAGCCTTCTAACCTGTACAAATAGGTAAGTTAATTATCTGTACATTTCATTGAGAAGAAATGTACATGAATATATATACACACACACACACATATATATATATATTATTACCAGGAAGCCACTTTAGGATATTATGTAAAAGTTTTACTAAAAGATTAACTCTAATTATCCACTTTTGTCTAACACAGCCCACGCTAGTTGTGGAGGAGAAGACTGATATATTCAAGTCCAAACCTCTCTTGACCACCTCACCCATCTCAAAAAGTCGAACCTGGTTGCTTTAGTTTCTCCTTATCTGGTCAGAGGTGGATCCAGAAAAATTTCCAAGCGGGGGCGCAAAATAATTAGCATAATATAAAATAATACAAAAATTGATTGTAAAAACTTTGATTTAATTAAAAATGACATACAAGTGGTTTCTTTGCAACAGCCAAGTGGTTTTTTCCTTAGTTACCAAAAATTAAAAGAGAGCCAATGGGATTCGAACTTGCAACTTGTAATGCCACATGCAATGACACTCCCTTGGCTGCAACCACTTTTTTGTTAACTTAGGGAAGCAAACATCAAATTAAAGCGGATGCAACTTTAGACTCCTTAAAGATTTTCACTAAGTTGGCACGATAGAGCGATAGCACGAGCACCCTCTCCTGGCTATTTTTAATTCTAATTCTATCCTTCCTTGCTTGGAGACGCATCCACCTGAGCTCCAGCCTACTGGTATAGTGGCCAGTTCATTTAGCGAAGCCAGAGACTATCTTAAACTAAAATTGATGAGTTGACTGTCATACTAGAAAAATTCATATAGCTTTTTCACATACATGGCTTGGCATCTTTTGTGCACTTACTGTTTTGTCTTGTCAAAAGCGGTTAGTTTTGTTCACATCTTATCAGCTTGAGCTTCTGTTTTGTTTGTTATGCAGCAATGGTGATGGTAATTTGAACACCAGCAAGAAACCAGGTAATCTAGTGAACACTGAGTTAGATATATATACACATATATTTATCTCTGACATTTCTTGTATCTATACATAGGCTGATGACATTTACACTTGATATGTTTGTTGCTGTGTTAGGAAATGATGAGGGTATCACCAAGAAGAAGAAGCAAAAGGGTGCCGTTGAGAGTGACAGTGGTGCTATTGAAGATCAATCCAATGTCACTAATAAGAAGATAACTGAATCTGGTAAGAATTGTGGTCAATTATCAGAAGACATTATGGTCAATGAACTAGAAACAAAACCAAAGAAGAAAAAAACCAAACATGATTTGGATTCTTCTGGTCAAGCTGAAGAAGTGAAATCTGATGTACTGAAGAAGCCCATAGATGATACAATAAATGTACTGGAGATGGATGATTCGACTAAGAAAACCAAGGACAAGAAGAAAAAAGGTATTCAACAAGATAAATTAGAGCGATCTACTACTAATGATAATGAATTAGTAGCAGAAGTTGCACAAAAAGAGAGGAAAAAGAAGAAAAAGAAATCGAGCACTGATTCTGCTGTTGAAGACAACCAAGTAAACCCAGTGAGAACAGACACTGAAAATGAAACTACTCAGCCTGATGAGTCTAGAAAAGAGAAAATGAGTTCTAAGAAAAGAAAAAGATCATTATCTGATGAAAATGATAATCCATCTACTGAGATTACAATTACTGAAGAGTCCAAGCGCCAAAAGACCGAAACTTCCAAAGGAGAAAAGAGCAAAAAGGAAGGTAGCAAGGTCGATGAAATAAATGCACAAGAAACATCTAATGAACTGCATGATGGACAGGCAAATGGGAAACTTGAAACTAATGGAGGAGAAAAGTCAGGTGCCCAGAAATCCACAAAAAAACATTGTAAAGATTCAGCTGAGGTATGTTTACCATTTCCTTAAATTATTTTCCAATATTGATTCGAATTGCCAGTTACACTTGTATTTGGTGTTCTTTTTTTTACGTTGGGGTGTGGTGGGGGAACCATATCTCTGAAATGGACCACCTTTGATGATTGTATAGTTTATTCATAATGTTCGATTACCATTGATCCCCAAAATAGTTTAGGAGTCTTTTGGTTTGATCCTATTCATCTTCTAAAGGTGGCCATCCTCTGCACCAATTATGACAACCAAGAATTTGGAAATGTAAGCATGTAAATGGGGTGGGATGGGGATGTGATGACACATGATTTTCGTCCTTGTGTCATGCTGTCTCTTTCTCTCTCTCTCTCTCTATATATATATATCTTTCTCTCTCTCTCTCTCTATATATATATATATATATACATATATAATCATAATGGGGATTTTGAGTATATAAAGAACTGTTTTGATAAATGGTGTTCTTGCAGCCAAAGACAGTAAATGCATTTCAAAGGGTGAAAATTGATGAAGTGGAATTTGCTCACCAGAAATTGCAAGATAATTCTTATTGGGCAAAGGTAATGATTACCCTATTGTGCACAAACTTTGTCGCTTGATGCTGTTAAGAAACAAATAGACTTCTATTCCCCACCAACGATCTTAAATTGCTTACTGCAGGATGGCGCAGATATCGGTTATGGTGCTAAAGCACAAGAAGTTCTAGGTCAAGTGAGGGGGAGGTACAGTTGTTTCCTTCACACTAAGTTCCTACTTCAAAATGTTATAGAACCTGGACCATTCATTGACCCGGAAAAGTTGGCAGTTGGATGTGTCAATTTGTCAACCATGGTCAGACTAATATTGATCAATGAGGGTCAGGAGTTATATAAATTATGTGGGTGATACTTTATATAATAATACTGACATAAATAGTCAAGTAAAATACCCTGAACAACAAGACGAAGGATCTTGTGAGAATAGGAGTTAAAGTGAGAAGCGTAAGTAGGGATCTGTACCCTTGATCACTTTTAATCTCACCCCCACCCCATGAATTGCGCTTATCACGGGAATTGATCTGGTGCATCTCGGTGCATCACATTAGTGTTGATCGTATTGATTCAAAGGTAGAGATCCTTTCTTACACTTCTCACCATAACTTCCATTCTCATTGGAACCCAACCCGAACAACAAAGCAATAAATATGGAAATTGTCTATGAAATTATAGAAACTATTTTGTACCATAATTTAACATAAGGAAATCATGTAGTTAGGAGCCCTAGGTCATGTTTGGTGACCATACACCATCTTATTTTTTGAGCTTACCAAAAAAAAGCCCCGTTCGGAAAGTCATGAACTAGCTATATAAGCTAGTTTTTTGAAAAGCTACTTCATAGGTTTATTGGGCATTTTTTTTGTCATTTTCCCCATTAATGCTTCTTGTATTTTACATTAATACCCCTTTTAGGTAGTTTTACATTATCAGCTAGTTTTTTTAATTCCAAATGACTAATTCATTGGCTAACGCCGAACAACTATTAGCTATTAGCCATCCGCTAGATTTGCCGAACATAGTTGTAGACTTCATTTAAGTGTTCAATTAAAAAACAAAGTACATAAAAAGGAAATTATTTTGTAAATCTGGTTAGAACTTAGCAGAACAATATAGACGACGTTAAAACTTTATGGGTTAATAGCTGGGTTGTTGAATCGAGCTTGGGTTGCCAAGCTCAACATCTGAACCATCCAACCTTCAGCCCGCATATCGTAAACGGGCTTTGAGATCAATCCATATCGGTTTTCTTCAGTTGGGTCGGATTTCTAAGCACTGCTGCGTCCTAGAAACTGATTTTCATTGGGGTGTCTCTTTCTGCAGGGACTTTCGGCATGAGAAGACAAAGAAGAAGCGTGGAAGCTATAGAGGAGGTCTAATTGATCAACAATCGCATTCCATAAAGTTCAATTATTCGGATGAAGAGTGATTCTAAAGAACCGGTAAGGCCCGTGGCTCTCGTTTTTGATCGGTTATTTGTATGAACCAAATATCAAAAAGTCTGAACTTTGTTCCCATTATCACAAGTTCCTTGAGGATTCTTTTCCTCAACTTACTTGACTTCATTTCAAGTTCTTGCATTATTGTTGCTGAATCCCAGCAAAGTCTTGTTGTTTTTTAGTTTATAATACTTACATATGGAAAAATACTCAAGCACACTGTTCATTTTTGATGAGATTTAAACCAGATGAATTGTACTGGTAACCCTTTGATAAAGTCATGTTGCTTGTTGGATTCCTATTGTGGCTCCTACAATTACCATTAGAAAATTATTACCAAAGATGATTTAAATATGTTAAGGGGGTGTTTGGGATTGCTTATAAAAAACAACTTATTTACTTATTCCGGCGTGACATCGGTGATAAACACTTTTGAGTGTTTGGATAAACAACTTATATCGGTGTCAAACCGGTAATAAATAGTTTGTAAAGAAGTTATACCCTTCTTCCTTGTAATAAGTTGATAAGTGCTTTTGTAGAAAAGTATAAGTTGTTTCAAATAAGCAATCCCAAACACTCTCTAAATGTATTACTACAAAATAAAAAAGTTGTAAACCAAAATTTGTATCTAGAGTAAACTCCAATTTTGGTCTTTGAAGTTTTGTGAAAAGTCTGAAAGTAGGATCTGAATTTTGACAAGTTTAGAGCAAAATCAAAACCGCAAAAATAATTTCAAGTCTTATCAAAGTTCAGATCCCATTTTTTATGCCTTGTTTGTTTTTTTTGAAATTTTCTCTTAATTACCTCTTTAAGTCCGAATCGTTTAGACATTTCCATTTTCAGACTGTTTGTTTTTTTTTTTTCAAAATAAGAGCTTAAATGATGTTTCCTTTTTTTGAATTTTTAAGTGATAAATCATAAATCTATCATTTAATACCTCTCAAATCAACTCTTTCTTGCCGGTGACCCATTTTACAATGATCCACGATTCTCCTCACGACCAACATAATATATAATCAAAATCTGAAAATTCGATTAGTAAAATTGTAAAAGCTTTCTATGTCCATCTAGTCAACGTGATTCATGAGGTTTTGACCAGTACAAGTAGTTTATTCCATAAGGAAAACTTTGTTTTTGTCATTTGACAAAAATCTTGAAAGAAAGAAATACAAATCTTGAAATATAACATTGTTGTAACCAATATGACTGATTCATATTTCAGACATCATACGTAAAAACAAACAGTCTGACTGATTCAGATTTTAAACTTCAGCACCATCTCTTAAAAATCAGAAAAGGGAAATCAGAGTTCAAACTTCAATACCTCTTAAAAAACAAACGTCACCTTAGACTTTTTACTGAAGGTCAAGGACCCAAATTGGAGTTTACTCTTTATTTTATAACAATTAACGATGAATAACAAATACATTTATAATGAAATTCTATAATAAAATAAATATGGTAATTATTTTCAAAACTATTGGAAATAAAATTATTTCTATTTTAATTTCGAAAAGAATATTGTATTTTATTATGAATACACACACATATATATATATATATATATATATGTGAATATTTGTAGGCTCTTTTTTATCCAACGAGCCTAATATTGTAAACCCAAACTTTTTTTTTTCGTGTTTGACAACTTGCCATTTTCCATCCTATAAACGGGTCGGGCTTGTCCATGGGTAACGGGCCTAAAAAGTGTAACTTTTAATTAACAAATGTGAACCAAAAAGTAAAAGAAAAACACCGTTGCAGTTAAAACTTTAAGCAACTACTGACCTTATCTATTGTTGATCGATTGTGACTTTTGACATAAGGATGCTAACAAAGATAATGTGGAGCCTTTTGGGTTCTCAAGAAAAACCAAAAAGTCTCGATTCTCATCCTATAACTTTAATAATTTAAGTTTAAAATATACTATTATAATTTTTAATTAATGGTAAAAAATATTAATTATAAAACATAAATGGACCGGACTGGCCTGTCCATATTTATTTTTACATTGCTCATGTTCGCCCATTAATTTTAACGAACAAACCCGGGTCCATCCATTTTCTCGATGATGATTGTTCAAGCCCGTATTTCCTAGCTGGTCGTCCTGCCCATGAAACATTTGTCTCTATATATGTATATATTATATGTAATTAATTGTTATGGAAAATGAACAAAAAGACGACGATAATGGAAGTCAATAAGAGGCTAATAAAAGACGAGTCAACCTTTGTCTAATAAAAGAAAGGTAAGAGGTTTTAACGTCAAAAAAAGAAACAAGTCGTATAACTGAAAATTTGTCAAAAAAGAGTTGGAAGAAATTGCAGAGGAAGGAACATGGCTAGATACAGAGTTATTTTCTCCTTATGTTTAACTGTTATACTTTCACGTGGTATTATTATGTCATGTCATCAAAATACAAGTTTAATGTTACTTTTAATGTAAATTTAGATGCCACAGATAAAATTCATTTTACCATTTTAACTGTTTTGACATGATGAAGATAGCAGATATGTCACTCTTGGACGTTTTTGCATTCTAAGCACAGGTTTTCTGGGTTTTTCTCGAAGTATATGTAAGGTTAAATAAAAGTTAAAAAATTCTTACACAAAAATATTGAAAATTAATATTTCTCTAATTAATTTATTTGACAATTAACAACTCAAAATAAACATAAAAATGCTTCATGAACAATAAACAACTTTTAGGTCAACCTCATGGTCTTTGACCACAAGTGTTGTCACTAGTTGGTATTTTGACATCGTATGAGTTTTAGGGGCTGTTTATCAAACATTTATCCGATAAGTATTTACTGTTAAAATTTAATACTATCATTTACTTACCGGATAAGATTTTAGTCTATCAGAATGGTATCATATGCAACAATTTACCCGTTAAGCGTTTACCGTGATAAGAGTCGTCGTTTTCACTTACTGGGTAAGACTCTTGATCCTTGTGTCGCTCTTACCAAATAAAATTCTTGGTTCTTACCATATTCATCCAATAAGATAACATGGTTTGGTTTTCACTTACCATTAAATTGTTATGACTTTCTTTTATATGTTCAAAATGTATCTAAAGAAGTTGAAAAAAATTAAAATACAAATTTCTAAATCTACTTGGAAGAGAGGGTAGCTTCCAGAATTAACTAGGTGTTCGTAGAAAAACCGAACAAAGTTAGTATATCTTATTCGTGTGACGTTTGGTTCATATGAAAATTGACATCTATTATTAGAATGAAATTTAATTAGATTTGCCTATGTGTTTGGTTGACTGAGAATTGAAATTTGTTCGTTTGGTTTTCAGAATATAACTTTTGAATTGTAATAAAATAACGAGGAATGACAACAATATATATATATATATATATATATATATATATATATATATATGGGACTAATCAAATGAGAATTAATTAGTTTGTGGTAACCGTGAGTTCCAATCTCAACCACAAATCAATAGATAAATTAGGAAACTTATAATTTTGGTAATTTTTAATTAAAATTTTAATGCAAGGACATTTTAGGTATTTTCTCTTCTCTATCCTATCTCCTCTCTTCTCTCTCTGTCTCCCGGCAACCGTCCTCCGGTGATACCATAGTGGTATCACAATGCATCTTATATGTGATTGGGTATCACACTGTGGTCGTTTGTGCGGTCGTTCGGATATGTAACACAGTAGTATCACAATGCATTTTATATGTGTTTGAGTATCACAATGTGGTATCACTGGAGGACGGTGGCCGGAGGCTGGAGGACGGTAGCCGGAGGCCGGAAGACGGGGACGGAGAGAGAAGAGAGGAGAGAAAATACCCAAATTGTCCTTTCATTAAAATTTTAATTAAAAATTACCAAAATTATAAAATTCCTAATTTATCTATTGATTTGTGGTTGAGATTGGATCTCACGGTTACTATTATATATATAAAGTACCAATTGGGTTAAGGTGATAACTTGTGAATTTAGTATTTAGATGTTGGTGAAAGGGTAAGAGATTGGAATAAGGAGGTGCATGTAAGAAAGAAGAATGTGATTCATTATTTCAATTCATGAGGCTTGACTCATCAATATACACACACACACATACACACACACACACACACACACACATATATATATATATACACACACACACACACACATTCGAACCTGTGTATTACACAGAGTATTTTAAATGAGAAAATTGAGTTGAGACTTTTCCTCAGGTCTAAAAAAATTCTGAACATTAATTCTGAAGCACAATACTTCAGAGTTCTGTTGTTAGGCCGGAAAATAACTCTGGACTTAACTCTGAATAAGAGAAATTCAGAGTTGTCTTCTAAGTCTAGAAAATATCTATGAGCATAACTCTGAATCACAAGAATTTTGACTTCTTATAATTCAGAAATGTAACTCTGAACTTCAACTCTGAAGAGGAGTTCAAATCAAACTCAAGAACATACACATTGATTCAAAAAATTGTTACACAAAGATCATGTAAATCGTAAGCCTAAATCAAAATCAAATACAAATAACTTACAAAGTGTGCCCATTGATCCAAAACTTGACTCGTGCATCGATCCTTTATTTTGGATTATGAATAGTGATCTTACACAAGAAAATGAAACGTTGGTGTTTGGGGATGAAGATGAGGAGGTTTATTTCGGAGTTTTAGGTTTTTTTAGGCAAAAAGTCCTTGAGCAGAGGGAGGAAGTACAGGGCCGGTGATGTTCGTCGAGAAAAAGAGGGAAACGGGTGGGTTGTACCGAGATATCCTCCTCAAGTCGACAAACTCAGTCTCGAATTTGGGTTTGTATAGAGAATCATATCCAGCTCCTCATCTCTAATCATGTTGAATCTAGTGGCGGTTGATTTCATTCAGACCACCATCTCTGGTCACGCTTCTATGATACTGTGATGAGGAGTGAAGGTAACATCCTCCATCTTCAATCCAGTTCCTATCTTGGTTAAGGTCGACAGATCGAAGATGAAGAAGTCATGATTAGCATTTTACTTCATTTGAATTCCTACAAGTCTGAAAGACACTTCAGAGTTAAATTCAGACTTGCAACTCTGGATTTCCTAGACTTTTATGTCTGAAAAAGTCTGTAGAGATCAGACTTATAAGTCTGAGGAATGGAAATCCAGACTTTTCGTATAGAAATCAGTTATGTTTACAGGGACAGATGTCAACCAAATAGGCCTCTTTGAACCACTAATATAAATTGTGTCTACATACATGTTTAGACGGGAAAACACAAAGCTGAAAACAAATTATTCGTTTCACAAAAATATCAATCATCTTGAAATAAGATTGAG